GAGTGGAGACGTCCGCTTATTTGTGTAAAACAGCGGCTCCATGTGAGGAAGATGCACAGCTGGATCTGAATCGTCTGATGAAAGAGACACCCCCAATATAGCATAGTCCATCATGTTTAATAATCCAATTAAATCATGTAACAAAATAGACTAATTAACTCTGTGCTGTTGTTCTTTCAGACATGTCGGATTTCAACGACTCTCTGATTGACGTGTCCAGCGACAGCTTCTGGGAGGTACACACATGTGTGTGTGTGTTTTTGTAAATAATGTGTGTGTGTATAAATTGTGTGTGTAACCAGTGTGTGTGTGTGTGCAGGTGGGAAACTACAAGCGTTCAGTGAAGCGAGTGGACGATGGGAACCGTCTGTGTAACGACCTGATGAGCTGCCTGCACGAGCGCGCACGCATCGAGAAGAGCTACAGCACACAGCTCACCGACTGGGCCAAGCGCTGGAGACAGACCATCGAGAAAGGTGGAGCGCGCACACACACACACACACACACACACACACACACACACACACACACTGACTTTTATAAGTAACGAGTGAAGCAGCGCATTACTGTAAAAAGAAGGTCTCTGGTTTGAGTCTCGGCTGGGTCAGTTGGTGTTTCTGTGTGGAGTTTGCATGTTCTCCCTGTGTTGGTGTGGGTTTCCTCCGGGTGCTCCGGCACAGTCCAAACACATGCGCTATAGGAGAACTGATCAACTACACTGGCCATATTGTATGTGTGTGTATGTATGGGTGTTTTCCAGTACTGGGTTGCAGCTGGACAGGCATCCGCTTTGTAAAACATATGCTGGAATAATTGGCGGTTCCTTCCACTGTGGCGACCCCTGATGAATAAGAGACTAAGCTGAAAGAAATGACTGTGTGTGTGTGTGTGTGTGTGTGTGTGTGTGTGTGTGTGTGTGTGTGTGTGTGTGTGTGTGTGTGTGTGTGTGTGTCTCCAGCACACCGTGTGCTCATGACACAGCTGACCGCACTGAAGCGCTGCATCACTGGAGAATCCCTCACTCACTGAACACTCCCAGCTGTAAACAGGAAGCTGCTCATCTGCGTTTCCTGTTTGTTGACGTGACAGCTGCATTCTGGGAAATGAAAACACAACAGGCTGAATTCGGTCTCAGGGCTCTGCTCTTCACACAGCTGTGTTTCTCACCACAGGCTCTGCTGCTCATGTCTGACCGCTGTTCTCATCAACACACACACACACACACACACACACATATTCCCAATGTTGGCGAGTATGCTGTAACTGCAGAACTAGGGATAATGAGAACACAAGAGGGCCCAGAACTGCACCCTGGGGTACACCCTGGGTTTATTGGTGGTGTTTGTGATCTGTGGTTGTCCTCCGGCCTCCTGTTGGTTCATCAGGAGCTCACACAGGGCTGAATGAGTGTTCTCGTTTGCTAACCCCTGCGCTGTGGATCTCCTGCAGGCCCTCAGTACGGGACGGTGGAGCGGGCGTGGTGCGCTCTGATGACCGAGGCCGAGAAGGTGAGCGATCTGCACATGGAGGTGAAGGCCGCTCTGATGGCGGAGGACTTTGAGAAGATCAAGAACTGGCAGAAGGACGCCTACCACAAGCAGATGATCGGGGGCTTCAAGGAGACCAAAGAGGCGGAGGACGGCTTTCGCAAGGCTCAGAAACCCTGGGCCAAGAAGCTGAAGGAGGTAAACACAGGCAGCGCGAGTCCTCTGACGCTCTGTTTGCTGAAGGCTTTGGTAAATAATAGTTTGGCCAGACTGTTTACACAAGAGCCTGCGCTGTAAATCACCTGCACAATCACATTCAGACTGCCTCAGGTCATTATTCCTTTAAAACTATCTTAAAGAGACAGTTCAGCCTACACTGAAAGATCTGTCGTCAATAACTCGCGCTCCACTGTGTCTGAGCTTCTGTCTTCTGCTGAACACAAAGGAAGATGAAGAGCATGTGTTGTGCTGATGTCCACAGATGGAGACCATGAAGAAGGCGTACCACACGGCCTGCAAAGAGGAGAAAACAGCCACCAGCAGAGAGAACTCCAGCAAACTGGACAACAGCAACCCCGAAGCCCAGAAGAAGCTGCAAGAGAAGGTGGAGAAGTGCCAGCAGGAGGTGCAGAAGGTCAGTCTGACTAACAATCTGACTACTGAATTACATTTAGATTACTTTATTACACATTTATAGTAATCTAACTACATCTGGATTACATTTAGATTACTTTATTACACATTTATAGTAATCTAACTACATCTGGATTACATTTAGATTACTTTATTACACATTTATGGTAATCTAACTACATCTGGATTACATTTAGATTACTTTATTATACATTTATGGTAATCTAACTACATCTGGATTACATTTAGATTACTTTTTTTAACATTTATGGTAAACTAACTACATCTGGATTACATTTAGATTACTTTATTACACATTTATAGTAATCTGACTACTTCGTCATTGCATTTAGATTACTTTTATAACACATATATGGTAGTGTAATCAGACTACTTTTGGATTACATTCAGATTACTTTATTACACATTTCTTGTATCGTATTCTAACTACTGGATTACATTTAGATTACTTTATTAAACATTTATGGTAATCTAATTACTTGTGGATTACATTTAGATTACTTTATTACACATTTATGGTAATCTAATTACTTCTGGATTACATTTAGATTACTTTATTTAACATTTATGGTAATCTAACTACTTCTGGATTACATTTAGATTACTTTATTAAACATTTATGGTAATCTAATTACTTCTGGATTACATTTAGATTACTTTATTTAACATTTATGGTAATCTAACTACTTCTGGATTACATTTAGATTACTTAATTTAACATTTATGGTAATCTAACTACTTCTGGATTACATTTAGATTACTTTATTACACATTTATAGTAATCTGACTACTTCGTCATTGCATTTAGATTACTTTTATAACACATATATGGTAGTGTAATCGGACTACTTTTGGATTACATTCAGATTACTTTATTACACATTTCTTGTATCGTATTCTAACTACTGGATTACATTTAAATTACTTTATTTAACATTTATGGTAATCTAACTACATCTGGATTACATTTAGATTACTTTATTTAACATTTATGGTAATCTAACTACATCTGGATTACATTTAGATTACTTTATTTAACATTTATGGTAATCTAACTACATCTGAATTACATTTAGATTACTTTATTTAACATTTATGGTAATCTAACTACTTCTGGATTACATTTAGATTACTTTATTTTACATTTATGGTAATCTAACTACATCTGGATTACATTTAGATTACTTTATTTTACATTTATGGTAATCTAACTACATCTGGATTACATTTAGATTACTTTATTAAACATTTATGGTAATCTAACTACATCTGGATTACATTTAGATTACTTTATTACACATTTATAGTAATCTGACTTCTTCGTCATTGCATTTAGATTACTTTTATAACACATATATGGTAGTGTAATCGGACTACTTTTGGATTACATTCAGATTGCTTTATTACACATTTCTTGTATCGTATTTTAACTACTGAATTACATTTAGATTACTTTATTTAACATTTATGGTAATCTAACTACATCTGGATTACATTTAGATTACTTTATTTAACATTTATGATAATCTTACTACATCTGGATTACATTTAGATTACTTTATTACACATTTATGGTAATCTAACTACTTCTGGATTACATTTAGATTACTTTATTACACATTTATGGTAATCTAACTACATCTGGATTACATTTAGATTACTTTATTACACATTTATGGTAATCTAACTACTTCTGGATTACATTTAGATTACTTTATTACACATTTATGGTAATCTAACTACTTCTGGATTACATTTAGATTACTTTATTACACATTTATGGTAATCTAACTACATCTGGATTACATTTAGATTATTTTATTAAACATTTATGGTAATCTAATTAATTCTGGATTACATTTAGATTACTTTATTAAACATTTATGGTAATCTAATTACTTCTGGATTACATTTAGATTACTTTATTTTACATTTATGATAATCTAACTACATCTGGATTACATTTAGATTACTTTATTTAACATTTATGGTAATCTAACTACATCTGGATTACATTTAGATTACTTTATTTAACATTTATGATAATCTTACTTCATCTGGATTACATTTAGATTACTTTATTACACATTTATGGTAATCTAACTACATCTGGATTACATTTAGATTACTTTATTTAACATTTATGGTAATCTAACTTCTTCTGGATTACATTTAGATTACTTTATTACACATTTATGGTAATCTAACTACTTCTGGATTACATTTAGATTACTTTATTACACATTTATAGTAATCTGACTACTTCGTCATTGCATTTAGATTACTTTATTACACATTTATGGTAATCTAACTACATCTGGATTACATTTAGATTACTTTATTTAACATTTATGGTAATCTAACTTCTTCTGGATTACATTTAGATTACTTTATTACACATTTATGGTAATCTAACTACTTCTGGATTACATTTAGATTACTTTATTACACACTTATAGTAATCTGACTACTTCGTCATTGCATTTAGATTACTTTTATAACACATATATGGTAGTGTAATCGGACTACTTTTGGATTACATTTAGATTACTTTAATACACATTTCTTGTATCGTATTCTAACTACTGAATTACATTTAGATTACTCAATTTAACATTTATGGTAATCTAACTACTTCTGGATTACAATTAGATTACTTTATTACACATTTAGAGAAATCTGACTACTGCATTGCATTTAGATTACTTTTATAACACATATATGGTAGTGTAATCTGACTACTTTTGGATTACATTCAGATTACTTTATTACCCATTTATGGTCGTGTAATCTGATTACTTCTGGATTACATTTAGATTACTTTATTACACAATTATAATGGAGTATTCTAACTACTGGATTACATTCAGATTACTTTATTACACATTTATGGTAGTGTAATCTGACTACTTCTGGATTACATTTAGATTACTTTATTACACATTTAGGGTAGCAATAATGGTCAGGTTAGTGTATACTCCATCAGATGTTTCTGTCAGCTTTGCCTTCAGTTAAAGTATTAATAAACTCATTAATGAAATGTCAGAGCAGTGTTTTGTGTCTCATGTTTATGTTTTGTGGCCTGTAGCCGTGTAATAAGCGGAATAAAGTACGTCTAGGCGGTTTATATCACAGAATAAAGCCTGATACAGCAGCCAGGAGAACTGGAGCTTCCAAAGGCATTTGCATTGTTGCCATGACTACTTCAGCATGATTGGCTCCTGTATTCAGAGGTGTGTGTGTGTGTGTGTGTGTGTGTGTGTGTGTGTGTGTGTGTGTGTGTGTGTGTGTGTGTGTGTGTGTGTGCGTGCGTGCGTGCGTGTGTGTGTGCGCGCGTGCGTGCGTGCGTGTGTGTGTGCGCGTGTGTTACAGACAAAGGAGCGCTACGAGAAGTCTCTGGAGGATCTGGACAAGGTGACGCCGCAGTACATGGAGAACATGGAGCAGGTGTTCGAGCAGTGGCAGCAGTTCGAGGGAAAGAGATTGAGCTTCTTCAAGGAGGTCCTGCTGGAGGTCAAGCAGCACCTCGACCTCTCCTCCAATCACAAGTGAGGGCGACTGATTGGAGAAGTCTCATTCTCACACACACACACACACACACACACACACACACACACACACACACACACTCAGTGATGAACGGCTCTGTCTGTATTCTCTCAGGTACACCACCGTCTACCACACGCTACAGGACACTATCCAGGGAGCAGATCCACAAGAGGACCTCAAGTGGTTCCGCTCAAACCACGGACCCGGCATGACCATGAACTGGCCCCAGTTTGAGGTACACACACACACACACACACACACACACATTTACAGAGCATTGGAGACAGTGGAGGGCAGCAGAACACAAACAGCAGACACATGATAACCGTGTCAGGTCAGCTCTTCATGTGGAGACTCATCTGCTGGAGGAACATTGAAGAGCACACTCAATGGAGGAATCATTCATTTCCTCATTCAGTGAGTCAGTGAGTCATTTAATGATTGTTTATTTGGTCATTGATTCATTTGAATCATTCATTTAATGATTCTTTTAGTGATTCAGCAACTCATTTAATGATTCATTCATTCAGTTACTCAGTCAGTCATTCAATGCTTATTTAATTATTCTGTGTCAGTGATTGATTCATTTGTTCATTCATTGAGTCGTTTAGTCAATGATTCTCTTAGTCATTCAGTCATTCAATGATTGATTCATTCATTCATTGAACCATTCATTCAATTTTAGTGACTCAGGTATTCAGTGGTTCAGTCAGTCTATTAATGATTCATTCATTCAATCATTCAGTCAGTTATTTAATAAGTCATTGATTGATTCTTTCATTGAGTGATTCATTCTTTGCTTCTTTTATTAATTTAGCTAATATTTAATAATTAATTACTATATAACTATTCAATCATTCAGTCAGTCAGTGATTCATTTATTTGGTAAGTCAGTTCATTAAATGATTCATTCACTCATTGAGTCATGTGGTAGAGTCGTTGAGTCATTCAGACAACGATAATGTCAATCAGTCATTTGGTAATTCAGTCAATGATTCATTCAGTCAGTCCTTAAACGATTGATTCATTCATTCAGTCATTCAGTAGATTATTCATTCATTCATTAATGCATTCAGTTGTTCAGTCAGTAAATGACTCATTCATTTATTGGGATGTTGTCATTGAGTGTGTATTCACACACACACTAATACTCAGATAATATCAGAGGTCAGTGTGTTGAAGTGAGCTGTTAAACAGGTTTACATGCAGATCAGTCAGCTCACACACACACACACACACACACACACACACACACAGTGTCTACAGATGAGGAGCTGTATTTCAGGTTTCTTTGGCACACGTGCTTCAGTGAGCACAGCAATGAACAATATGTTAACACCACTGCATTCAGTGTGTGTGTGTGTGTGTGTGTGTGTGTGTGTGTGTAATTCTGGGAAGCGTCTCTGAACACTCTGCTATTGATAGAAGTGCGTTGCTGAAGTTGAGGTGAAACTTGTGGTCAGGATTTGTGGACGGGGCTAACTCATGGCTCGATGATGTAATCAAGGATCAGAGTGTGGCCCCTCCCCCAGTCAAGCTCATTGGCTGGAGGGAAGATCCAATCAGTTTGTAGTTTTTTTTTTTTATATTTAAGTGAGGCGGTGACTTCCACACAAGTGGGCGTGGTTTCTGCATCACCCGTGGACACGCCCCCAGCATTAAGAGCTCAGAGTAACACGGGTTCCTCAAGACTTGATCAGTGAGAGGGGTTAATCACCGTTACTGAGTGACCAACACTGAGCACACACTTGATCATGATGTAGACAAGCTCAGAGTGTAACGGAGTAAGATCATTCAGTGTGTGTGTGTGTGTGTGTGTGTGTGTGTGTGTGTGCTGCAGGAATGGTCCATGGACCTGAACCGGACCCTCAGCCGCCGGGAAACGAAGCGCAGACCTGCTGAGGGAGTGACCCTGACAGCGATCAGTCACAATCCTGAGCAGAGCTCCAGAGTCAGCAGGTACACACACACACACACACACACACACACACGTACGCTGAGCATCACTGTCAGGCTGAAGTTCTGTCATAATTGGAGAAGTCATCAGTCATGTGGTAGTTCTGTTTGTGTGTGTGTGTGTGTGTGTGTGTGTGTGTGTGTTTGTGTGTGTGTGTGTGTGTTTTCTATAATGATGATGATGTGGAGTGTGTTGTTTGATATAAACTGCTGCATCTGCTCCTGAACAGCCTGCGCCCACTGCAGATATGTGTGTATGAGTGAGAGGTTATATTCAGGAGTGTGTGTGTGTGTGTGTGTGTGTGTTCTAGTCAGATGTTTAGGTGTGTGTGTTATAGTCAGATGTTTAGGTGTGTGTGTTCTAGTTAGATGTTTAGGTGTGTGTGTTTTAGTCAGATGTTTAGGTGTGTGTGTGTGTGTGTGTGTAACCCTGTCTCTGTGCTGTCAGTGTGCCTGCGGTCAGTAGTTCAGAAGCGGCATGCTTAAACCCGTTTGATGATGATGATGATGATGAAGATGAGGATGAAGAGCCGGTGGTCACACACACCCACAGCAGCCCGGTCAAACATGAGGAGGCTGTAGCACAAACGTTGGTGACCTCCAGACTCCACTGTCTCTCTCTCTCTCTCTCTCTCTCTCTCTCTCTCAGGGGACTGCCTGTGTTTCTGATATGTGCATGTGTGTGTGGTCTGCCTACCTGCTTGCTTGTGTGTGTGTGTGTGTGTGGGGGGGGGGGGGCTGTGCATGCTGAAATGGCTCTGCTGCTGCTCTTTTATAATGCTGCACCACTAGGACTGTGGTCGTCTGTCTGTGGTCTGTGAGTAGTGTGTCTTTCAGTAGTATGTTGGTCTGTCATTAGTGTGTCTGTCTGTAGTCTGTCAGTAGTCTGTCAGTAGTCTGTCTGTAATCTGTCAGTAGTCTGTCTGTAGTCTGTCAGTAGTCTGTCTGTAATCTGTCAGTAGTCTGTCTGTAATCTGTCAGCAGTCTGTCTGTAATCTGTCAGTAGTCTGTCTGTAATCTGTCTGTAGTCTGTCTGTAATCTGTCAGTAGTCTGTCTGTAGTCTGTCTGTAGTCTGTCTGTAGTCTGTTAAAAATCTGTCTGTAATCTGTCTGTAGTCTGTCAGTAGTCTGTCTGTAATCTGTCTGTAGTCTGTCTGTAATCTGTCAGTAGTCTGTCTGTAGTCTGTCTGTAGTCTGTCTGTAGTCTATCAGTAGCCTGTCAGTAGTCTGTCTGTAATCTGTCAGTAGTCTGTCTGTAATCTGTCAGTCTGTAATCTGTCAGCAGTCTGTAATCTGTCAGCAGTCTGTAATCTGTCAGTAGTCTGTAGTCTGTCAGTAGTCTGTCTGTAATCTGTCAGTAGTCTGTTTGTAATCTGTCAGTAGTCTGTCTGTAATCAGCAGTCTGTAATCTGTCAGTAGTCTGTAATCTGTCAGTAGTCTGTCTGTAATCTGTCGGTAGTCTGTAGTCTGTCTGTAATCTTTCAGTAGTCTGTCTGTAATCTGTCAGTCTGTAATCTGTCAGCAGTCTGTAATCTGTCAGTAGTCTGTAGTCTGTCTGTAATCTGTCAGTAGTCTGTCTGTAATCTGTCAGTAGTCTGTCAGTAATCTTTCAGTAGTCTGTCTGTAGTGTGTAAGTCTGTAATCTGTCAGTAGTCTTTCTGTAATCTGTCAGTAGTCTGTCTGTAGTCTATCAGTAGCCTGTCAGTAGTCTGTCTGTAATCTGTCAGTAGTCTGTCTGTAATCTGTCAGTCTGTAATCTGTCAGCAGTCTGTAATCTGTCAGCAGTCTGTAATCTGTCAGTAGTCTGTAGTCTGTCAGTAGTCTGTCTGTAATCTGTCAGTAGTCTGTTTGTAATCTGTCAGTAGTCTGTCTGTAATCAGCAGTCTGTAATCTGTCAGTAGTCTGTAATCTGTCAGTAGTCTGTCTGTAATCTGTCGGTAGTCTGTAGTCTGTCGGTAGTCTGTCTGTAATCTTTCAGTAGTCTGTCTGTAATCTGTCAATCTGTAATCTGTCAGCAGTCTGTAATCTGTCAGTAGTCTGTAGTCTGTCGGTAGTCTGTCTGTAATCTTTCAGTAGTCTGTCTGTAATCTGTCAGTCTGTAATCTGTCAGCAGTCTGTAATCTGTCAGTAGTCTGTAGTCTGTCAGTAGTCTGTCTGTAATCTGTCAGTAGTCTGTCTGTAATCTGTCAGTAGTCTGTAGTCTGTCAGTAATCTTTCAGTAGTCTGTCTGTAGTGTGTCAGTCTGTAATCTGTCAGTAGTCTTTCTGTAATCTGTCAGTAGTCTGTCTGTAGTCTTTCAGTAGTTTGTCTGTAATCTGTCAGTAGTTTGTCTGTAATCTGTCAGTAGTTTGTCTGTAATCTGTCAGTCTGTAATCTGTCAGTAGTCTGTAATCTGTCAGTAGTCTGTCTGTAATCTTTCAGTAGTCTGTCTGTAATCTGTCAGTAATCTGTCTGTAATCTGTCTGTAATCTGTCAGTAGTCTGTCTGTAATCTGTCAGTAGTCTGTCAGCAGTGTGTCAGTCAGTGGTGTGTGTGTGTGTGTGTCTAGTGACTGTGTGTGTTTGTCCTCAGTAGTGCCGCAGTAGAGAAGGCTCCTGCTCCAGCTGCCATCACTGCTGCTGATGATGATGATGATGAAGAGTCAGGAAACCCCTTCTCCTCCTCGTCAGCCAATGGGAATCCGTTTGAGGAGGAGCCGTCCACGGAGATGTGTGTGCCGGTGCGCGCTGTCTATGACTATGAGGGACAGGAGCAGGACGAGCTCAGCTTCAAAGCAGGTATACACACACACACACACACACACACACACATATCATCTATCTCTGTCAGTTTAAATATATTAACTGTGTGTGTGTGTGTGTGTGTGTGTGTGTGTGTGTGTGTGTGTGTGTGTGTCAGGAGATGAGCTGGTGAAGCTGAGTGAGGAGGACGAGCAGGGCTGGTGTAAGGGGCGTCTGAGCAACGGCACTGTTGGTCTGTATCCTGCCAACTATGTGGAGGATCTGCAGTGAGCGACCACACACACACACACACACACACTCCGGCGCGCTCGCTGTCCCCCGCGCTGGTCTGATGCTCACCGCAGATTTTACAGATGATTTTATCAAGATGCCATGATTTTACCACAGCTCTGACACTGCTGGAGCTCTACTACACTCCTGTGTGTGCGCGTGTGTGTGTGGGCGTGTGTGTGTGTGTGTGTTCTGTAGCTTTACTTCACCTCTGCACTGCTGGACTCACACACACTGTCCACTGATGTAGAGAGCTGTGTCACCTGTGTGTGTGTATGAGAGTATGTGTTTGCGTGTGTATGTAAGTGTGAGCAAGTGTGATTGAAAGTGTGCACATGAGTGTGTGTGTGTGTGTGTATGCGTGAGAGTGAGCAAATGAGTGTGTGTGTGCATGTGTAAATGCTGTAATCAGCTTAAGAATGTAAAATTGAGCCTGCTGCAGGTGTGTGTGTGTGTGTGTGTGTGTGTGTGTGTGTGTGTAATCAGCTTGAGAATGTACACTGCTGCAGATGAATGTGTGTGTGTGAGAGAGAGAGTTGGCTGTACATAATGTGTTCGCTCAGCTCCTTTCTCTCTTTCTCTCAGGTGTGTGTGTGTGTGTGTGTGTGCAGACGCTGATCTTCCTCCTCTTCTGTCTCACACACACACACATCGTCAGCTGAATGTCCACATGATGAGTTGTAGTTACAGCTGTATTTTCTTCTGTCTGTCGTCACTCTGACAATAAACCAGCATCAGCTCATCTGACGAGTCTTCATCATTAATCTTCACCACACACATGCTCAATAATGTTGATGTCTGGTGACTGGGCTGGCCAATCCTGGAGCAGCTTGAGCTTCAGGAGCTTTGATGTGGAGGCTGAAGTATGAGCAGGAGCGCTATCCTGCTGGAGAATTGTCCCTCTCCTGTGGTTTGTAATGTAATGGGCAGCACAGATGTCTTGATACCTCAGACTGTTGATGTTGCAGATCTCTCACACACCCCCATACTGAATGCAGACCCCAAACCATGATGTCTCCTTCACCAAACTTGACTGATTTCTGTCAGAATCTTGGTTCCAGGAGGTCTTCTGCAGTATTGGTGATGATTGATGCAGATCAGCAGATGATCCAGCAGAGGCACCTGATGAAGCGTGTAGCCATTACATGATTACACCAATAGATGGAGACAAACAGCATCAGCAGTGTGTGTGTGTGTGTGTGTGTGTGTGTGTGTGTGTGTGTGTGTGTGTGTGTGTGTGTGTGTGTGTGTGTGTGTGTGTGTGTGTGTGTATCTGGATAACTCCTCACACATCCTCCAGCTCATCATGAAGCTGCAGTCACTGAGTCAGGAGCTGATCATGACATGTAAGAGGGAATATGATCAACTGTGATGTCAGTGTCAGCAAGAGTAGTGCAGGACTGCAGATCTGACCCTGCACACATCATTTATTCACACGTGTGTCCGTTTCTCCTCATGTCATCTGCTGTAGTGCGATCATAATAAACTCGTACGTCACAGTTATTCAGCAGTTGTGGTGTTGTACAGTCCCCCATGTTCATTTGTTGAAAAATGCCCCATTATAACACCAAATATGTTGAACTCAACTGGCCGAGTTACTAATAAATGACCCAACTAATGTTAAAAATGAGCCAACTCACCAATATTACATTATATTATATTTATTACATTACATTATATTATATTTATTATATTATGTTATATTACATTATATTATATTTATTACATTACATTATATTATTTTTATTATATTATGTTATATTACATTATATTATATTTATTATATTATATTATTTTATTATATTATGTTACATTATATTATATTTATTATATTATACTATTTTTATTATATTACATTACATTATATTATATTTATTATATTATATTACATTATATTATATTTATTATATTATATTATTTTTATTATATTATATTACATTATATTATTTTTATTATATTACATTATATTATATTTATTATATTATATTATTTTTATTATATTATATTATATTACATTATATTATTTTATTATATTATAATTATTATATTATATTATTTTTTAGTATATTACATTATATTTATTACATTACATTATATTAGATTTATTATATTATATTTATTACATTACATCATATTAGATTTATTATATTATACTATTTTTATTAAATTGCATTACATTATATTATATTTATTATATTATATTTATTATATTACATTATATTATATTTATTATATTATATTTATTATATTACATTATATTATATTTATTATATTATTTTTATTATATTATATTACATTATATTATATTATTTTTATTATATTGTATTATATTACATTATATTATTTTTATTATATTATAATTATTATATTATATTATTTTTATTATATTACATTATATTTATTATATTATATTTATTATATTATATTATTTTTAGTATATTACATTACATTATATTATTTATAATGTTATATTATTTTTATTACATTATATTATATGATATTATTTTTATTATATGATATTATTTTTATTATATTACATTATATTATATTTATTATATTATTTTTATTATATTACATTGTATTTATTATATTACATTATACTAGATTATTTTTTATATTACATTACATTATATTATATTTATTGTATTATTTTTATTATATTACATTCTATTATATTATCTTCATTATATTATATTTATTATATTACATTACATTTTATTATATTTATTATATTATATTATTTTTATTATATTATATTACATTATATTATTTGTATTATATTATAATTATTATATTATTTTTTATTATATTACATTACATTATATTTATTATATTATATTTATTATATTATATTATTTTTATTATATTATATTACATTATATTAATTGTATTATATTATAATTATTATATTATTTTTTATTATATTACATTACATTATATTTATTATATTATATTTATTATATTATATTATTTTTATTATATTATATTACATTATATTAATTGTATTATATTATAATTATTATATTATTTTTTATTATATTACATTACATTATATTTATTATATTATATTTATTATATTATATTATTTTTATTATATTATATTACATTATATTATTTGTATTATATTATAATTATTATATTATTTTTTATTATATTACATTACATTATATTTATTATATTATATTATTTTTAGTATATTACATTACATTATATTTATAATGTTATATTATTTTTATTACATTATATTATATGATATTATTTTTATTATATTATATGTATTATATTATATTTATTATATAATTTTTATTATATTACATTATATTTATTATATTATTTTTATTATATTACATTCTATTTATTATATTACATTATACTATATTATTTTATTATATTACATTATATAAAATATATTATATAATTTTTATTATATTATATTACCTTATATTATATTTATTATATTATTTTTATTATATTATATTACATTATATTATATGTATTATATTATATTTATTATATTATATTAGCAAACAACCCTGGAGCACTAGATCGTTTGGAAGAAACACAGGTATCAGTAAAATTAGCTAAAACACATTAATATTATGCATATTTTATGCCCAAAATCCTCAAAGATCGTGTTTTATTTAGGCATTTTCTAGATTTACAGCCTAAACCTCATCAAACCCTGTTTTTAGGGCATGTGAATCACAGAGAGCTTCATTTGTTCGACTTTAAAGGCGATTTTCCCTCAATATTTAGACTTTTTGCATCCTCAGATGATCAATATCCACATAATCTGCAGCCGCTGAATGACAGTGAAGCTGTTAAACTGTGTGTGTATAGTCATGTTTATCCAGAAGACTGCCAGTCGGGTGAGGCTGTTTACCTGCGCTGCTCATTTGCATGATGTTATTGATGAAGACGCGCTCCGCCAATCAGCGCGCGGCGTGCTCCGGACGTCACCGCAGGAGGAAGTGCGGCGCAGATGCGGAGTGTGTTTGTGGAGCGTTTGTCTGTCTGTCCGGTGTCCCGCGGCGGTGAGGCTGAAGATGTCGGAGCCCGGTAAACACGAGATCAGCGCGGTGCTCAAGCGACTGCGAGCCGCTGCTGCCAACAAGGTGAGTGCGACACACACACACGCACACACTCTGAGGAGGTGAAGAGGCACACACACTTCAGGAAGCAGGAAGACGGAGGACACGTCACAGCTTCAGCAGGACTCACATATGGCAGATGCTGGAGTGTGTGTGTTCAGAAAAACAGCTTTAGTCAGAAATACACACTCTATCCGGTCATTCACACACACACCTGTGAACAGTCACACACACACACACACACACACACCT